AGGGCAAACACAACAATGGGATGGACTATGAGCACATGATAAAAAGCGAGCACACAAGGAGGGGTGAGGATAGGTAAGACACCTAAAAATTAGCTAGCATTGTTGCCCTCAACGCAGAGAAACTAAAGCAGATACCTTAAAAGTAACTGAGGCCAACAGGAAAAGGGGAACAGGAACTAGAGAAAAGGTTAGATCAAAAAGAATTAACCTAGAAGGAAGTCAATGCGAGTCAATGCCCTGTATAGTTATCCTTATCTCAACTAGCAAAAACCCTTGTTCCTTCCTATTATTGCTTATACTCTCTCTACAACAAAATTAGAAATAAGGGCAAAATAGTTTCTGCTGGTTATTGAGGGGGTGGGGGGAAGGGAGGGAGCGGAGTGGTGGTGGTAAGGGAGGGAGTGGAGGCAGGGGGGAGAAATGACCCAAGCCTTGTATGCCACATATGAATAATAAAAGAAAATAAATAAATAAATAAAAAGATCCAGCACAAACAGAGACTTGGTCATTTCATTGTCCTTATCTTCCTTATAGACTTTAGAATTTTCTATCTTGATTTTTAATTGTGTACTTACATTGCTTAACTCCTACTGTAGTCTACAAGCTGTAGGACAGCATATTCTGTCTGTAATGTTTGCAGATGACAATATCTGGCAGAATGCCTTATAAGAATTAAGGGTCCAATAAGCAATTGATGAGTAAATGGATATGTGGCTAGTAGAAGCAATGATGCGAAACAGGGAGATCCTTTTTCACATTACACTGCAAGACATGTGTGGAAACACTCTCCGTTCAAGTGAACTCTACTATGTTCAGTTCAGTGTAAATCTACTAAGCACTTTGAGGGGTTGGAAACTGGACTTCTTCAAATGGTTTCATAGGTTGTTTACTGCACAACATGAGCAGATGTACATGGCAGCCCAGGTTAGAAAATATAAAAAGTGATCCTTAGCTACAAGGATCTAATAAAGGCTAGTCCATGTAGGGGGTGGGGATGTGTGTGTGTGTCATGTGTGTGTCTGCTTGTCATGCATATGATCACTTAAACATACATACGTGTATATGTACATCATCATCTGGGTTATATAGCTGTATATAACTATATAAAAACTCTTGAACTAGGATTTGTGCATTTATCCCATGTGTAAGTTATATTCCAATAAATAAAATGCAGTGGAGAAAAGTGAGAAAAAATAAAGTGTTTAATACAGAAAACTCATGTTTCAAAATTCCTCTTTAATCCTTTTTTGTTTTCTCTTAAGAGCTATGGGAGAATGGCATATTATTTGATAATCTGTATTTTGGAACAAAGTCAAGGTATTATTTAGGAAAGTTATTGGAATAAAAACTAGCACATAGGTGTCATCATGATATATGTGTGGGCCCACATATAAGATCAGCAATCTGTACATTGTTGCGTAGATAAAACATTTCACTTGTCCATTCCCATGAAAGAAATGATCTCATTCTTTTGTTTCTTTCGAGGCAACTTTTATCCAAAGTCATATAGCCCAAGCCACCTTTTGAAGAAACAGCTCTGAGCTGTTGATCTCATCTGACATTGTTAGTTTCCATAGAAACTCCCCAGAATGCACCACTTGTCAGGAATAAGTGCCTCTCCCATCAATTGGAAATAAGTCCAGGAAAGCCGTGCCTCAGGGTCTGATATCTTACAGTCCTTCTCTTGCAGAGGACAGAAGAGCACTTAAGTCCATGTCTGTTACCTTTATCAGAAAGGCCATCTCCATTACGGACACACAAATGAAATATTAAACACTGACTTGTGCAATTAGCTTTAGACTAAGTATGCTGTTTCCTGCAGGATTTTTGTTACAAATGTTCCTGAGATTCATATTTGAAAAAATAAACACCACAACAAAAACAAAACATCAAAGGAAAAACTTGGATATGAGAAAAGTTACCTGTGTCTTGTCAATTTATATCATTATATAATTACCAGCAGTCTTTGAGGGTAACATAGTTATTTATGCTGGAAGGTTGTTCTTCCAAGCTCAGGAGGGAGGAGAGAAGAGTGGCAAGAATTTCAGGTCACAGATGCAGCACAGACCTATAGGCCATTTAAACATTCTTTGTTTTACCTGTCCTGGAGTACCTGCTCACCACAGCATACTCTTCTATGCAAATATCAAGACATCAAGAAACAAAATTAATCTACATGAAAAGTCAAGAGAAGCAGGGCATGGTGGTTCATGACTGTAATTCCAGCATTCGGGAGGCTAAGGGAAAAAGACGGTGAGTTCAAGGCCAGCCTGTGCTACAAAATAAGACCCTGCCTCAAAAAACCAGTGGTTGGGGTTGTACCTCAGAGGTGGAGTGCTACCATGCACAAGATCCTGGGTTTAATCCCCAGTACTGGAAAAAAAAAAGTCAATGAGGTTATCTTAAAGGAGCAGATAGTGAGCAAAGGAGGTCATGAGAAGGTACCTGGGGTATTGGGAATATCCTGTTTTATTATCAGGTTACCTCGATGAATTTATGAATTTACTTCCTGAAAATCCAAGTACCTATTTACTTATGATTTGAGCACATTTCTACATGTATGTTAATTACACTTCAATAAAGAGATTTTATACCCAAACAAATAACAGATAAGCCAAGGTACCTAAGTAACAGAGAAATTTGGCATGGAACAGATAAAGGCAATCACAGCCTCCTAAGTTCTCTACTGAACTCAGCTGTGAGGTAAGTTAATAACAAGATCCAGGTCATTCATGAAAGATGTCAAAAGTAGTGGCTAGGAACCCAGATTACATTCATTCCTCCTCAATGAGAATGTGCTCATGAAGCGTGTCTTGCATGAGCCTTTCTTAAATCATGATTTGAAACAGCTGGTGTTTGTTAAGGGGCATTTAGGGAATTGTTTGCCCAACAACCCATCTATACATCTAGGGACTTTGCTATAGCCATGGCTGACTGATCCCTGGTTCCACATAGGTCTTGGGCTCAAGGTCATCATTGTCTTCCAACACAATTTTGAAAACAAGATTGAAATAGAGACTAATCTTTCTGGATGCCTATCATGCAATATGGGTAGTTGGTTGGCTATAAGAAACTGGGTTTTCTACTACAGAGAAAAGAATTCCAGATTATAGAAACATAGTTCATATTACTTATATTCAAAGGGATCTTAGATACTATTAAATCTTTTCTGTAATATTATGGATCAGTACACTTTTACATGAATGGCATAAAAGACACAAAGGAGAGTTCAAGGCCCTTGACTTTTTAACCTCCAATAATAACCTCATCCACCTGACTTACTAACCGTTCCTACATGCATCTGCTTGACATCATCCCCTGATACTACACTCCCTTTTAAAATCACATGCAAGTATTCTTTCCCTGCCCAATCATCATTATCTTCTCTATTACTGAGTAAATAACCTTTATCCAAAATGCTTGGGACCGAAAGTGATCACAGATTTTTTTTAATATTTACATATATGTGAGCTACCAAGGAGATGAAACAGTCTAAATACCAAACTCATTTAAGTTTACACCTTATACACATAGCCTGAGCATAATTTTATACCATATTTCTAATATATCTGATTTTGACTGAGGCCTGTCACATGAGTTCAGGTGTAGGATTTTCGAATTGTAGTGCCATGTCAATGCTCAAACAGTATCAGATTTTAGAGCATTTTTGATTTGGGACTGTCACATTAGGGATGCTTAACCTCTATTATATCCCCAAGTTCAGTAACTGTCAGTCACACTGAAACCTAAACTCTGCGAAACCTACCACTCTTTCATTGCCCGTTATAGTCTTCAGGTCCCCTTCCCCTCTTACCCATCCTCAATCCCTCTGTCTGTCATGCCTCAAAACCACTCTTCTTTCCCTTGGCTCACTCTCTTTCCATCATGCTCACTTTGCTAATTCCCCAAACATGATCACACCTAATTCTTTGCTGACTTGGCAACTATGGTCATAGAGATGAACAAGGCAGAAGAAAAATCTTACAGTGACACTGATCAGTTTTCACTCTAAATTTATGACCACAGTTCTCGAAGGAACACTCAAACAATCCTTCTTTAGTATGTTGACTCTACTCTCTAAAACTATTATGTCATTTGGTGGCCTCAAGACTCTAGTCCCCCCTTATTATGCCCCTTTCAATGATAACATTGCCCCTAAATCAACGTCTTAAAAGTGTCAACATACACAGGCTTGAGTTCATCACCTCTTTTTTCCTCAAACTACTCCAACTAGAATAGTTTCCATTTCTCAAAGACCTTAGTGGCCTACATGTTGTGAGATCCAATAGTCACCTTTTTGTCCCCATCATCCAGCTCGATAGCCTTTGAGTCAATGGTCCACACTCTCCTTCTTGAAACATTCTCTTCAATGACAGCGATCCTAGTTTTTTCTGACCTCATCAGCCACTCATCCTCAATCCTGATCTCCTTTGATTTGTTTAGCTTCTGAGTTCAAGTGACT